ACTTGGCTCGCATGCAGACTTTACCTTTACCGTTCATTTGGTTGTGCTTAGCTTTATGATCGGAGTAACATCGACTCTCACACGTTCCTACTTGTCTTTAACAGAAAACCAACGTTGTCAAGTAACTGTTTAGAAAAAACAAACAAACAAATAAACAAACAAACAAGCAAACAAACAAAACAGAAAAACGAGAACGATTTATAATTCGACTGAGGCAAACCATAGGTTCCGGACTCCAATTAGCTACATTAGGCGGCCTCGAAATAAATGCGGTAATTGTTGATAACTTTACACACTATTAAATCAATGGAATATGTTCTCCGAGATCTAGCAGGAGGTTTCACCAAAGGTAAAATGGACAAACGGGTAATATGGGGATCAAATTCCAACTAACAGCGGGAACCATGCGAGAGAAAAGTTTTTTCCCTTTTAAACTAAGCAATGGAATGTCTTATGCAACATGCAGCCAATTAACAAAACAAAACTCGATGGCTTCTGTTTCTTGTTGTTTAAAGCTGAGTTCCAATTGAGAATTTATAATCCAGTCGTTATATGTCAATTGCCTAGTTTAGAAAGAAAGAAAGATCAATCTGGTTATTTTCTCATTATGCGGTGAAATGCCCTTTGAAATCAGGAGTATTAGACCTATATGGAGAAATCACTCACCTTGATAATCTCTTGTACATAATTATCAACGGCTATATAATCTTATTATATCCCCTGATTGGTAGTAAAATTATGCTTCTAGAATAGTRCATAATTACAAGAGATTATCAAGGTAAGAAAGTGAATCTTAGTTCAGTAGCGCGTTCGTTTGCTTTGCTCTCGTTTGGCTGCTCATTTCCCCGCAGTTTATTCAGTTTATTATTGTTTGGGCAGGAGACATCGCCTCCAATTCAAACTCCTATTAAAATTTCGAAATGTCTTAAAACATAGCTAGGATAGAGGCTTCTTTGCTTCTTCTCGATATTCTGCAATGGCGTAAACTTTCAACTACTGTAGACTATTCCTTGCGATCTTCTCCTAAACCCTTCTCGTTCATTTTCAAGAATGTGCAGGTACTTGTAGGAGATTATGCTAGTTATATTTCGGTAGAAAAGTCTGGCTTGCTCGCTTTCCTGCGTCATTAAACTCAATTTGTGAACAATGCATGACAAATTAACTTCTTTTCATATTTATATTTGTTTAAATTCTATATTTTTTATTTGTTTAACTTCTTTCAAATTACGCTTGCTTTAAGGTTAGTGCAATTTTATGTAATCTTCAAACATTAAGTGGAAAGAAATTCGCTTTCATATCATTACCTATACATACTGCGAGCTATCCGACTTCTGAAATTGCAATCAACATTTTAAAATTCGAATATTTATAATGTAATCTTAAACGAAATGAGCAAATTCTTAACTACTTCGGATCTCACCTCGAATCACGGGCCAATGGGGTAATGTGAGACAACTTTTAATCAAAACGCCCTCTGGGCTACGTGTCTCGCGTTCGTCCCTCCCTTCATGCAATGCGCTCCTTTACAGCTGGATCTATCAGTAGACCGTTTTCGATATATTAAAATTCAGCTTGGCAGCGAGGCTTAGAAGACACAAACAATGGAAATTGAATGACCATGTTTATTCATTTCTTTTGTTTGTGTCCTCTAGGCCTCACAATCAAGCTGAATT